TATGATTTTTTTGGTTTTTGATACCTGATAGCTGATCCCTTCGATATCTTGTGATCTCACAGGCTGGTGTGTTTTTTCCATGTGGGCTCTGTTGTTTCTCAGCTAGATGGCTGCTTGTTTATCTTTAAACCTAAATGACCCCAGACTATATCTTTTCATAGCTGGGCACCATCAGCTTTCTTCACCACATTTGCTATGCACCTGCTTTGTCTTCAGCGATTGTGTAGGGATAGGCTGGTGTGCTTCTTCCTTGTGGGCTTTGTTGTTTCTCAGGTAGATGGCTGCTTGTTTATCTTTAAGCCTTTAAGACCCCAGACGCTGTATCTTTTGATAGCTGGGCACCATCAGCTTTCTTCACCACATTTGCTTGTGCACACAATTGTCTTCAGCAATCGTGCCAGGAAGGCGAGCATCTCAGACTGTCGAATTGTTAGAACAAAGTGTTCTTGTGTTGAGGGAGTACTTGAGTAGGGGCCCACTGTCCATCTGTCTCCTTAATACTAGACCTATAAATATATGTCCATAGATTTATTTCCCCCTCATCGTATATAAATATATTTACATCTGTATATGCCTGTATTTAGATCTCTATAAATGCCCGTTGCCTCTTAGTTCTTTCCTTTATCTTTTTGTACTTTCCTCTTGTCCCACTATCATGTTCAGCCTTCATTTGGGTTTCAGGGATTCCTTTTGGTTACATTGTCCTTGATCCAGCCCTGCCAGACCTCCTAAACCCTCCTTGCCACTGATTTTGGATCACTTGTTATTCCCTTGTCCCTGGGTTTGTTAACACCCACTTCCTTTCTTCAGCATTCCCCTCTCCCATGTCCCCCCAGAACTGTCATCCCATTGTTCTCTCTTCCGGCTTGTTTATCCCACCTATCCCTTCCAGGTAGACATGCAGTGACAACAATATGCACCAACACAAGACCGAGTATACAACAATTGTGCTGATTTTTTTGATTAGTACACTTGGTTTATTTTTGAAGCTCTGTTTTAGCATGTTTCACAGACCTCTCAATCTTTGTATGTATTCAACCATCACCACTACACTTACCGCTAGTTAAATCCTACATGTCATTCCCCCCGCTGTAGTATTAAAAGTGGCACGGGGGAGTGGGGTGCCAGCCCCACCCGCTACTAGAACTCACTGGTTCAGTAATACTACTTCTGGGTTCAGTAATGCACAATTGTACGGTTGAGATATATAAGTATTATATTAAAGTCATCGAGAGCATGAGAGATATTACAATAATGCAGTCAGACACATTACATGGTAGTATTGCTCACCTCAGCCCAGCTTGGTGGTCCACGTGGAGAGAGGGGGAAGGGAAGGAGGGCAAGGGAACAAGGAAGAGAGGAGAGGGGGAAGGGAGAGGGGTCAGAGAGGTTAGAGATCAGAGAGGTCAGAGTCTGAGAGCTCTATGAAAGGTGGGTGGTTTGAACCCCACCTTTCTCTGTGGAAGAAAGATGTGGCAGTCTGCTTCGATAAGGATGATGACTTTGGAAACTCTGTGGGGCAGCTCTACTCTGCCCCATAGATTTGCTACCAGTCTGGGTAGATGTGAAGGCAACAGATTTTAGTCTTGTGATCAGTGCTTTAGGTAAGAATTCCCTCAGACTATTAGAGTAGCCTCTTCTCCTGCCCCGCCCCCCTCTAGATTTGCACCATTTCAGTCTGTTGCCCATTTGTAGCTGAAGGGAGGTGCCTCTGATGGTGTCACCCTCTTCCCTGCCAAACTAGGTTTCCTGGTCATGTCATTTTGACACATTTCACTTTCCTCGATGAAAATCCCAGAAACCGTTTCCATTTACCTCCTTCCATTTATCCATTTAACAAGACAAATAGGTATCCACATTAATTTTCTTCGAAACCTTCTAATCTCGAAAATCTGTGTGGTCTAACTATCTCTACGGATATGTGTCAGTTAGACATGAACAAAAATTGAGTATTAATCCCAGTAAATCGGCTTCATTCATGAAACATTAATTCACTAATAAATATAAACGTAGCCAAAAAGTTCCCTAGAAAGCAGACCTCAAATGTAAAGGCCAACAATGCAGTGGGGATTGCCATCCTGACCAACCCAGGCAAACCTGCGATATGTCAAACCCAATATCTCAAATGTTGCATAATGCTAAATATTAGAAAATTTATATAAATAGATGCATATAGTATACGTAGCTTCATTTCTAATAGTGTATGGTTATGTTGTTTTAAAGTAAAATAAGTTGTTTTTTAAAGATAATGTGGGGTTTGGTTCACGTATCAATTTGATGTGCATCCGTAGAGATAGATATATAAGAAATGTCTGTAAACCTAGTGTTAAAAACTCCTCAGTTCTTGGCCTGACACAATTGGCTTATCTGATTGGGTGTCTGCCTTTCCCTTCCCACAAATATTCTATGCATCAATCATATCTGTGGTTCCCAGCATAAGACATGCACATTGTACCGTCTGTACCTTTGCATATACTGTTCTCTTTTCTTGGACATCTTACTTTTCATTGATTTATTTTTAAATTTATTTTTACTTATTTATATATTTTTTGATCATTTTGGTGGGGGCTCATAAAACTCTTATCACAATCCAGACATACATCCATTGTGTCAAACACATTTGTACATTTGTTGCCATCATCGTTCTCAAAACATTTGCTTTCTACTTGAGCCCTTAGTATCAACTCCTCATTTTTCCCCTCTCTCCCTGCTCTGCCCTCCCTTATGAACCCTTGATAATTTATAAGTTATTATTATTTTGTCATATCTTATACTGTCTGACGTCTCCCCTCACCCACTTTTCTGTTGTCCATCCCCCAGGGAGGAGGTTATATGTAGATCCTTGTAATCTGTTTCCCCTTTCCACCCCACCCTCTCTCCACCCTCCGGGTATTGCCACTCTCAGCACTGGTTCTGAAGGGATCATCTGTCCTGGACATCTTACTTTTTATTTTGTTTTTAATCTGGCAAATTTCAATGTCTGACTTAAGGACCAGTTCAACTTCTCCTTCTTCAGGAAGCCTCCCTGGGTTCCCTTGTACCTGATTTATTTGCAGCCAGTGTCACATTCTCTTGTCATTGTTTCTTTTCTGTCTCTTCTACTAGACAAAGCTGCTCAAGAGCAAAGACCGCACCTGTACATCCTTTTCATTACTGTGCTCCCAGCCCTAACTCGGTGCCTGGAGGTCTAGTGGGTACCCGGCAAAGATCGAAATTATAGGCTTTTTATTCCCTGTGAGGCTATCTGCTTACACAGAGATTTACAGCCTTGGAAACCCTCTGGTAGCATAAAGGGAATACTGGTGGCATAGTCATGCACTGGGCTGCTAACCATGAGGTCAGCAGTTCAAAACCACCATCCATTCCATGGAAGAAAGGTGAGGCTTTCTACTCCCCTGAAGAATTACCGTCTTGCAAACCACAGGGCCAGTTCTAGCCTGTCCTATGGGGTTACTGTGAGCTGGAATTGACTTGATGGTCGTGAGCTGTTGCTTTTGGTTCCGAGTCGGAATCAAGTCGATGGCAGTAGGTTTGGTTAGGGTTCTGGGTGCGTTTTGCATGTGAAAATGAGCCATGTGTGTTAGAACTTGGGAGCAGCAAGGGAGTTCCTATAAACTAGCTCATAGTCCACAGTTTAGCTTTAGAGTAGAGCAACCTCAAGGATCGAATGAGTATTGGGAGCCTCGCACTGGAAGGGCAGTTCCCTGACACCCTGGGCCGATGGCAAGGAATCCACGGACTCTGTAGTTCTTTCGGTGGACGGTGGGGACCATCGCTAGCTCATTGCTCAAAACGAACCAAGCCCACTGCCATCGGTCAGTTCCGACTTGCTGTGAGCCTAGGTAGGGTTCCCAAAACTAAATCTCACTCTCTCAGGAAGAGCCTCTGAGGGGTTTGAATTTGCATCTTTGCTTCTTGCTCATCACAAGTGGCGGTTCCCATTCCTTGCGGTTAGCCGCCCAACACTTCACCCACAGCACCACCAGGCTCGAAACTTAGTATGTGCGTAATAAATATTGGTTGCAATAAGTGGTGCTCCCGAGGTATTGGGACTTAGCCTGCTTTGGTCCAGACAGAAGTCGAGGAATATAGATCCTACCTTAACCTTCAGAATGCTCTTTCTGTAAAGCTTTCACATGTTCACCATACCAACTCTCCCAGGGCCTTCGAGGTGAGCTTTTCAGAGTGATTTTCACTGGTAACAAGCATCTGCTAAAGGCACTGTAGGCGTGAGGCAATCGACCTTGGTTTTGCAGTGGTTTCGGCTTCTGCTGCGAACCACATGGTGGAAGGTGTGAACACACACGGTGATGCTGTGTGATAATTGTCCGGTGACAGTTACAGCCTGTACAGCCTAGGGGCAGTTCTCTTTTGTCACATGGCATCCATGGGGGCTGGACTTGACTCGACAGAACAGGATAGCAGTAACAACAGGTGCTAGGCTGGGTCTAAAGTCGAAGGCTGTGAAGTGGAGATGCCCAGCCTTTATGATTATCCTGGAGGCCAGAGCCTGATATGCCTAGACGGAGCTACCCGGCTCTTGAGAAAAAACACACAATCTCTCCAAGAAATTGACGTGGCGCTGCAGTCACCTCAGTGTTCAAGATGGTGGGGTTTCTGTGGTGGTAAACTTTCTAGATGAGCACGTGAGCACGCATCGTGATAAACGAAAGGATCTGTTTTGTTTAGAGCACATTTCTGCCCAGTTTTTTCTTGTTTTTCAAAGACTGAAGCATATGTGTCTAACCTTTCGGCTGGCTAATCTGGCCTGTCTCTTTCTAGTGCGGGGGTTGATTTGATGGATGACCCTGTGATCCAGGCAGTCGCACAGAAGTACAATAAGTCTCCAGCTCAGGTAGGTGGCAGCGGGCTGTGTGCGTAGCTGGACCCTCCATATCTTCTTGGGAGTCGTTGTGCTTTCTGGAGGAGGAAGGGGCGAGCCCTCTCTTGATGAGTTCATGGTGAATTAAAAAATCTCGCATGCGATCGCGGGGTGTCCAGGGGATCAGGTCTGGCTGGACCGGAGGATGTGCACTGGTGTGGATGGGAGCTGGAGGCACAGGGAGTCCGGGGCGGATGGTCCCTTCGGGACCAGTGGTGTGAGTGGTGATGCTGGGGGGGTGGAGGGAGAGTGGGTTGGGGGGAGGGAGCCTATTATAGGGAGCTGTATGTGGCCCCCTCCCTGGGGGACGGACGGCGGAGGGGTGGGTAGGGGGAGACGTCAGATGGGGCAAGATATGACAAAATAGTAGTTTGTAGATTGTTGGGGGCTCATGGTGGGGGGGAGCGGGGAGGGAGGGGAAAAGTGAGGGCCTGGTGCCAGGGGTTTGAGTGGAGAGGGAATGTTTTGGGAGTGGTGAGGGCAGTGAATGTGCGGGTGTGCTTTGCACGGTTGATGTGTGTGTGGATTGTGGCGGGAGTTATGTGGGCCCCTGGTGGGACGATTTAAAAAATAAAAAAATCTTGCATGTCTACTGGCATTCTCCCATTCAGTCAAGCCAGTCACTTTTGTCCCTCGAGACCCAGAGGGCTGTTTTCCACTTGTAGCGTGTCCAGGCAGTCTCTGTTCCCACCAGCTGAACTGACAGCTGGTATTAAGGGAAATGAAGGCGCCCAGGTGGCAGACTGGTTAAGTGCTCATCCGCTAACCGAAAGGTCAGTGGTTTGACCCACCAGCTGACAGACGAGGCAGTGTGCGTCCACATAGATTTACAGCCTGGGACGCCCTGACACGGTAGTGCACCCTGTCCTGTTGGGTTGCCAGGAGTCTTAAATGGACTTGGTAGCAGTGATGCTTTAGAAAAGTGGAACAGAGAGCTAGCTTATTAAGATCTTTCTTGCTCCTGGGTAGATTTGTTTGGTGGATTGGACACATGTTCCTGAAGCCTCAGGAAAGCACGGGCAGATCTGCAGACCTTCCCTGCCCGGGGCAGACAGAGCAGACATACTGTTCGCATTGCTCAGAGGCTGCCGAGAAGACTCAGACTATCAGGAAAATGCCTGCGATTTGCCTGCATATGACGTACCTTTGGGACAGTAGACCTTTCTTTTCCTTTTTTCCCTGCAGATTCTGATCCGATTTCAGGTCCAGAGGGGTGTGATAGTGATTCCCAAATCTGTCAACCCGGGAAGGATTCAAGAGAATATCCAGGGAGGTGTTTTCTTTTTCTTTTCTCTGAAGATGTAGGATCGTGTGTTAGGACGAGTTAACTGCTGTCACAACCCCAGGGCTCCTGTAGGCCAACACAGCAAAGGTTTATTTTTCTGTGTCCGATAGTTCACTGTGGGGGTGGTCGTGGGGGTTTTACTCAGACATTCAAGGGCCCAGGCTCCTGACCTCTTAGGCCTCCACTCTCCTCCAGGGTCCGATGGTTTTCTCTCGTCATCCCAAGAGGCGGAGCGAGAAGAGAGGGTCTCACGTAGGAGAGCTTTGTGGACCATCTCAATTCCACACTCACTGAGTTGGCAGAAGACAGACACATGCCCACACCATGCTACCAGGGAGGCTCTAAGGAGGTTGTGTACTTTAGAAGACGAGGCAGCAGGTTCGGTGGGCAGCTAGCCAGGGTCTGCCACAGGGAGGCATGCCACCTGGCTATTTGAGACTGGCTATCTTCATTGTTGGGTGAAAAAGATTTTTGATCCTGACTCCTGTCTAGTTTGGAAAATGGGATGAAGACCGACTGGACAGGTCTCTTTATTGGTCAGAATGTGTCCACAACGCTGAGAAGGATTGGCTCTTTCAAGGGCATTTTTTTTTAACTTCAGCTGAAGAATTTCAGAAGTTTGTGGCTTCTACTTGAAGGCACCATCTCTTTAGCACAGTGGTTAATCTATTTTTGATCCAATCATTAAAATAGCATTAATTGGAATCCTGATAGGGTTGTTGTGAGGATCAGCTGTAATAATCAATGCAAAGTGATGCACTTAGTGCCTGGCATATCAGAGCACCAGCTCATATTCGTTACCAGTCATCATTGTGCCAGTTTGCCTACTTTTGGCCTCGACTGGGTCAACAGTACTAGTCAGTCTGAATCAACATGCCTTTTGTGAACCTTGGATATTTCAGGTTTCTAAGGAAGTGTTTTCTTTACATTTTTGTGTGTGTGTCTCTTACAGAGGTATTTGCATGTAACAGAGGCACAACTAAATATTAGTTGAACTGAATTTCCCAAACCTTCTGGTTGCAGGTGTTTGATTTTGAATTAGCTGAACAGGATGTCAGTGACCTCCTCTGCCTGGACAAAGATTTCCGAATGGCCAGATTCCCCATGTAACTATGATCCTTTACTTCTTTTTAAAACTGAAGGAGCAATAGACGGATTAGATGACTGGTTCCTAAATCAATATTAATGATATCCATATTAGGTTACTAATGCTTAACCCTTAATGAAGGAACCGGGCGTCACAGGATGGGATTCCTGGTGTGCTCAGTGGGTTATGCATTGTGCAGCCGTTTAAACCTACCAGCCATCCGACTGGGGAAAGATGAGACTGTTTGCTCCCATAAAGATTTGTAGCCTCAGAAACCCCAGAGGACTGTTCTACTCTGTTCTATAGGGTGGCTATGTGTTGGAATTGACTAGATGGCAGTGGGTTGGCCATTGGTTAAGTGCTCGGCTGCTGATTACAAGGTTGGTGGGTCAAATCCGCCAAGTGCTCTGATGTGGCAGTCTGCTTCTGTAAAGAGATCAGCCCTGGAAACCCGACAGGACAGTCCTACACTGTCCTTTAAGTACATAATTCTGCCCTGTTTGAACAGGGTCCACAGAATGAAGCCAAAGACTAATTTTAGACACACCTAATGGCACAAAGAAAATGTTTCTGTGAAAAAATGGTTATCATTCTTATCTCTTTCTTTGATTTCTTTCTAGAGCTGAAAATCACAAAGATTATCCTTTCAATATAGAGTATTAAGGATAGCCTCCCTTGTCTTCATTTCCTGCTCAGCCCAGAAAAATTGGCATGTGTGGCGCCATTGCCCCTCCAGAAAATGCTTGCTTCCACCCTGCTTCTTCAAGGGACTCCACTTGATTGGCAGAGGCGGCCCTGGCCGGTAATGGGAGTAGCACACTCTGACCTGGAAGGGTGCCTGTGCGAAGCAGCCTAGCGCTCGGATAATTCTGGAGAATTCAGAGGAGTCTGAGGGTTTCAATAAGTTAATGAAAGAAAGTCACGAGAGCACTGATACTGTGTGAGACTCTGTCTAAAACTATTAGTGATTGTGTATTTGTGGGTGGCATTCTAAAAAGAATAAAGGATATTCATA